TCTCGGATTAAAAACATGACAGTTTCAAAACTGCATATTCATATCGGATGCAAAGAGTGCTTTATAAATTGTGGTTTGAATTCTATGCAGTTTAACAAATTCTTTAAAAAACCGGATTAAGAGCTGACTAGAAGTTATTTGAATTGAGGTATATACATTTATATTCATTTCATTCCTTAGTTTAACTACTTTACGCTTTGAGTACTGACATAATTGCAGTGGCTTTTGAGGCAAGCACCGAGGGTATATGTTTCAACAAATGTGTTTGACAAATTGCTGTCTTTTAATTAACGAGAGTGATTTATTGGTTTCAGATAGGGAAAAAAACTGGAAAGAAGATTAACCACATTAATCACCAAATAAGATATCGGGAGAGTATGACGTCACACTTCACATGGTCTCAGTAGCGAGAGGGAGTTTTTAATTCCTACCCTGTTATTGGGTCTAAGAACTGTTCATTGATTCTTCTTCCTATCTCTGTCATTAAGTTTATCTATGCTGGTGTTTTCCCGTTGTGTAAAATCATTTATTACAAAGTACAAACAGAGAGAGGTCACCCTGGGATGAAGACCACGGTTATACGGAGTGAGCACTCCGATTCAAGTCCGCGAAGTCCGAAAATTAACACACCCTCGAAGATACATTTTACAATTTCTGTATTTCACATTTTTGTCTTGGTACCTTAAACGGTGTTATTCCAAAAATTCAAATAGCCACAACTCTGCTTTGAAAAAAAATATATCTTGTCTTTAACTTGCGACATTAGGGTAATAAATGCATCTCTGACAAAATAAGCTGTTTCCTCTCTTTTTCTCTATATATAAACTTATTTCGTTGCACAAATCAAAGAAATCATTCTTAAATTTAAAAAAATGATGACAAACAAAGATGGGACTTACCAACATGACCCTCGTTCAATCAACGGTAAATAAACATAAGCTATATCACGGGCATGTGTCTGTGTATCTGACAGTTCGAGTTACTTCTTTACAAAGCTGTATTCTAATTTTATCTTTGTCGAATTACTCTTAATCCAAGTTTGATTTTTATATCAAATATTATTTTTATGACAGAGCAGACTTTGTACCTGGAGAATTGAATGATTTTTAAACGCTGCGAGAAAATCAATGGTAGAGTCTTTAACATTCATATGTCGCCATCCATTAGAGCAGTGGGATTAGATACAAGGGTGTATCAGTGAAATCTTTACTGATAGGGAAGTCATATGATGTCCACCACAGAAGGAAAATTTACTTCTTTTTTTAACTTTTGTGAGAAATCAATACTTTTGTGAAAAATCCATTAAACTTCTATCGCAAAAAGAAAATGTATGCGCTTTAAATTTTGAAAATTTCAAAATACTTCATATACTCATCCCTGAGAGTTTGGTAAATTTTAGTTCATTTGGTTTCAGGTATTTAGCAAATAATTTAGGAAATGAACTTTCAGGATATGCATATGATAAGCTTACAACAGTAGAAGGAAAAAGTCTCCAGAGGTTTATATAAGGAATGTAAATCATTCAGTCGACAGAGCACTAGACCATCAAATCGCGTTCGTGAAGAATAGTTCTTTGGAAAGATTACATTTCTTTAGTTTGTACTTCAAAATTTAACACAGATTCATAGCGTTCTCACAGGAAAATCAAACAAAATGTAAGCAGCGGTACAGTCGTTATGTACAGGGGGATTAACAGAAAGAATAAATTCACAAAATCGCCATTATTTCCATGCAACGGTAAATTGGCCGCCATACATCTGAGGGAGTGCGATTCCCCTACATCGGACTTACCTCTTCTGATATGCCTCATCTCTGGAAATGATCTTACGGCAAATATATATACTTGATAAATATGACTCTTCAGGGAAGGAAAGCCAATTGGGGCCACTTGAGATTACTGGAGATTGAATTACGGACCATAAGCGCTACCTCTCACTAGTCATTTTCCCGCGTTTTTATATTGTTTCGGTGTCAATTGCCAGGGTCGTTAGATATCCCCATCTTCAAAGGCGTTCGGGTAGATCAGTTATTGACTGATTTTACCAAAATAGCTCCCTGTCCTACCTCTCCCCTGATTTATGATTCTATTAAGCAATAAAGCACCATCGACGACCTGACTTTTGGTTGGAAAGTCTTATTTTTTCAGAGCATAAAAATTTAACGATAAATTCGGGAACAAACATAGATCAGTAACATAGAACTTTTGACAATGAGGAGAAAATACGAAATATTCAATGATTTCCAATAGTGAAACACAAAAGAAATTAGATAGGTATGGATTTAAAAAAAGAGGTCTTATACATTCCATGCGAAGGTGGAAATTCGCGAAGATTAACTAACTTCCTGAATAATAGATGATGGACAAATGGAATTTACAATCGTGTGTTTTTATGTCTTGTAGCAGAAAATAACCTGTGTAGTGTCGAAGTTACATACACAAAATCGGAAAAATATTTCAGCAAATGAAGGGCATTTAATCTTCACTTAAAATAAATACATTTTATGATTTATCTTATGAAAAATGCGAGAGAGAAAAAAAATTAAATTTCATTTTTCATAAATATAGGTACTGTAATAAAGAGTATCGTGACAGTATAGCATCTACATTTTTCCTCAGAAGTTCATGTACCTATATATCAATTTTACTGAAATTTTAAGTAAATTTAAATTAAAGTACGTAATACCTATAAAATTAACACATTATAGGTATTACGTATTTTTTTAAATTAAATAATTACTGAAATTTTCGGTAAAACTGATAGATGCGCGAACTCCTGTGATTTTTCTGAAGAAACCAAGTCACAGTCAATGACTAACCTTCTTGGAGATTCTGTGGCGCTCCATATTGTCCAAGTCCTGTTTCTATACTGCTTGTGAAGCTTCCATGTATTTTCCATAATTTCTTATATTAGATCTAACTAAATTAAACACGCACCAGAGTATATTTTTCATTGCAACATGCACCTGAACTGTTTAGCAATGGGTTTATGCACAAAGTGTTCCGTGGGAAAACGGAATAGAATACATGAGTGTCTTAATCAAATTAAAGTTCATGACCATATAAAAGCATCGTGTTTCAATTATGAAAACATAGGATTATTCTAAACAATAGATTTTAAATGGCTCATTGTTCTTAGTAGTTAGTTTATTGGAAATTGCACAACATTCATTCTAAGATTGAATTGGCTTAAAATTGGAACATCTAAGGTAATATTTTCAAAAGAAACTTCTGAAAATTGGATGAATAATCACCCCCACCCCAACCCCAGAAAGCTTATTGATGCGCATGTCTTAAAGAAGCCTTTGAAAAGCCAAAGTAAATGTATGCTATCTGTCGGAATGTAAAGCAAATGGGTATATTTTTGTGAAGAAGAATTTTAGGTTATTTTATCTCGAGGTGACTACAGTGCCTATCAAAACCAAAAGCACTATGATATGTGAAGAAACTTTGTAAACTTCGATCTGTTCCATTTGTATTGTATGATAATTATCATTTGTATTGTAGAGTTTTTATATGTATTCCATATAGCTTTTCATTTGTATTCTATGATTTTCTGTTTATTTCAATTTGTCTTCTATAAATTTCCATTTGTATTCTGTAAATATGCAATATAAATGAAAAATATGCAATACAAAAAGATCATTATAAAATTTAAATAAAACATATTCAATACAATTTAGAAATTTTAGTATACAAATATAAATTATAGCAAAATGAATGGAAAAGTATCGGATACAAATATAAAAATTTATACAATACAAACTTATATATATGTCAATACAAATGGAAAGTCATGCAATAAAAACGGGAAAATTAAATTTTGCAATTTTTGACATGCCAGGATTTCATCATGTCTGTCATTGTCAAAGACTTAGTAAATTAATCGCTGAAACATGTCCGGCATAGGTAGAGATTTGATATATCTATGAATATTACTGTGATTCGGCGGATGTTTGGTTATGAGAAATCTCAGCAAGATGTACCTATCTCACTGAGATTACATGTTGTTTTGGATTAAATGAGTCAGCAATTCATGAGTTAAATTAATCTAGTAAAATTGCTTTTTCTTAAAGAAAATATCTTGTCGTTCCCTCTTTCGTAAAAGTGACATGCACTTAAGTTTAATCTTCTTGGAAAAAAATTAACATAATGGTTATATCTTTTGAACAAAAAGAGGTATGGCTTTCATACTCCTCATGTGACAAATATATTATTATTTTTACCCTACATGTATATGACCTTTTGTATAAATAAAACATTTGAATGAGCATCCCCACAACAAACCTAATTTTTAGGCTTGATTCTTTAATTGAGAAGCAACAAACAAATTTGGGCTTTCATAAGTATAGAAAACATAAACAGAAAGTAGGCAGTTGACACTACAAAGTATGTTTCAAAAGCTTAATGAGACTGGTTCACAGATAAAATACAAACTAATTTTTTTCGGACCAAAAGAATTCCCTGCAGTCAACCCGTAAAAGGTTGTCAGGGGTCCAATGGACACGAGTGGCTTGGAACTTCTGACCTTGTGAAGAATGATATAGACAAGTTTGGTCATAACTTTTGCATGAGTTTGTGTGACTTCATATTTCACATGTGGATTACCTGTGACCTTTCCAAATGTACCATAACCTTGTAAAATTCACTCACTTTTAACATTGGCAAAAACTTTTCAAAGAAATCTTTTATAATTCACTTATTCAGAGATATTTCGTGTATATTGGGGTGCAATGTTGCAAACCTTGACTTTTCTGATATAATTATATGATGACAATTAACCTCTTGACCTTGCAGATTAGCAGTTTTCCAAAAAAAAAAAAAAAAAAAAAAAATTAACAATGAAACAAGAAGACGAGCCTTTCTTATTTTTTCACATGTGCATTATTTGTAAGAATCTATTTTGTCATTTTGGAATGTAAAATGATTTTTGATCTCATGACCTATAGATCAGTTTTTAAGAATTCCATAACTTTTCCAAAAGAGCAGTTTGCTCACTCAATATTTTGAAACCTTTTATTTAATGATGTGCAGACAAGATAGATAAAATATGGAATAAATCATTGTACCTCAAGCAATAAACCAACGAAAATCGAGAGACCTGAATTCTTTCACATTAAATTAAGAAATTATTTCAATTGATTTTATTGTACATTAATTTTTTTTTTTTCATATGATTTTACAAGTCATTTCCAATTCTGTCACCAACTAGATCACTCTTTGTCCATCTTGATTCTCCGAGCCTATAAAATCTCCTGTGTTTATAATCCTGGTAAACAAAATTCTTATACTTCCCTTCAGTTAGATCATCCTTAAACCGGCGACTTTTCCCAATAATTTGAAACTGCCTATGTCTCTTTTTACTAGAACATTCAACAAACAGTTGACCATGTCTGGTAACAAAATAGCAATGTCTGCATCTTAACTTTGGAACACCTCTTGGTTGATATGCTCTTGTTTGCTCTAGGTTAATGATGGATGGCATTAATAACTGTCGTGAGGAAGTAAACTGTGTTGTGAATGAACTGAGAGAACATTTCTGGTACACAATGGAGAAGCATCTGCTAATATTGTTGGTTTGTAGCACGCTAGGCAGAAGAACTCGGGCTGTTCTCAGAAAAGAGGATAAGGGATTCATCGTAACTGTTCACTTGTATCTCAAAGCTACAAAAGAAAATTCTATTACTCAAAACTTGAAATAAAATTGTCCTTTTCAAACATCATTCTATCTGACACCTCTGTTGCTTATAGAATTTGCATGTATTATATGCACCCATAACATGGAAGAGGCATTAAGCAGGACTAAGGAATGTCTCCAATAGAGAGGAATAAAGAGTAGCAGCAGCCCATTTTTCGTTATACAAGCAGAGGAGTAAAAATCTTTTATAGTCAATTAGTCTGAATTTCCTCTGACGAACCATTTTCTGACAAAAACTATAACGATTAAGTAAAACACATACTATAAGACACTTTTCTATGTATAAAAAATACCCTGTGTACCTAAAAGCGTCCGTATAATTCAAATTCAATGTTATCTGATTAACAAAACATGTTACTGGTCACAACGAAGAGTTTCTGAGTTAGACATAGGTCAGACCTTGGTTCCGGAAACACAAATCGGTTTGGTTCATGAATTAGGTATGAAATTACGAATAGCTCGTACGAAAAAATATTCGGATGTTCTGCATACAGTTATAATCATAAATACATATGTTGCTTCTCTCTTGTTATTGCTAAGTTTAAGATATTTTTAAACAAAAGGTAAAGATGCGTTCAAATTTAAATAATTGACTGAGATCTACAATAGTATATGGGATTCCATAATAACACTATATATTGTAAAATTACGTATATTACTTTGTTTTCTCTCCCAAGATTGGCAAGAAGAACTAAATTAGGCTAAAATTTATCTTCATAATGTTTTACATTACCATAGACTTTAATAAGACGCTAGGTATCGTGTTTTCTTAGGGGTGGGGTGGGTGGGTTAATAATTATATAGTAGGCTAAAGTTTTATTTTTTTTTCAAATGGACGATAAGACTTAGTTAAAACAAATAAATAAAATGAATTAATAATGAAACCAAATAGCTTAAATCAAATAACTTGACTAATGGAACTTTAAGTTGCTACATTTGACTAATAAATTATTCAAATAAGTAAGTACATGTATGAATGAGTAATCAAGTAATATAACTAAGTTTGTGAGTTATTGCATGAATGAGAATGAGGGTGAGTGAATGGGTGAGAGAGAGAGAGAGAGAGAGAGAGAGAGAGAGAGAGAGAGAGAGAGATAAATAAAATAAAATAAAACGGAAATTAATCGGGGAAACCAAATTAGCTGTTTTGGTTTTTGTAGTACAGCGACAAAAATATCGCATTGCACTCACAGGTACTTGTAGAACTTTAAGCTTATTTTACATTTTTTTCACAATTTATATTTACTTCTCTCTTAAATGTATAGTGGGGTATTTTTTTGAAATTATTTTGGGGTTTTAAATTTGTTCATTGCAAACAAATAAGTGTACTAAATATAAATTGTGAAAAAAATGTAAAATAATTGAAGTTTGTCCACAAGTACCTGTGATTGCACTGCGTTTTTGTAATACGGTAAATTGGCAAAATGCTTACACTCAGTATGCCTCTCATCAAAATGAACACATATTATTTTTTCGTATGTCCAAAGTATGCGAACACCAGAAATGAATTTTTACATAATTTTTTACAATTTGATAAAATCCACACACTAGATACACATGTCTTATTAGGGGGGGGGTTGATTCACTGAATAATGCAGAGAATGATAATTTTTTGTTCAAACATTTATTAAACATTCTGGTAGATTTCCTTGTTAAATACTGTACCAATATCTGTTCAACATTTTATATATTTATACATATATGCAAAATGCATCAATTTGTTTACTTTTGCAAATATATACTGAATACTTTATATAGCATGTTTAACTGTGACAATATAAATGTGTAATTTACATGTGTATAGGGAGAGGGCGTTATAAGTTTTCAGAACTTATGCTCAATCCCTTTGTAATTATATTACAATAAAATATGTTCAAATCAATCAAAATGAATATAAAGAAAATTTGTCTGAAAGTTTTGTGATTGAGCCAAGCAGGGGGACAGTTCTAAGCGGTTGACAACCTGTCTGGGTTATTTAATTTCAGTGCATAACTGTAAATTTTTTCTTTTGGTTACTTACCATAGACATTTATAAACATTCTGCATGTAAATTGATGAAGTCAATTTAAGAAAAAAAATTTTCGCTTTAAAGATATAATTGCAATATATATCATAGTCAATTTTCATTTTCGTTTTATAAATAATTTCAAAAAAAAAATTTGAAAAAAAATTAATTCAAAAAACCACTAAAATTATGTTTAACGTTACTTTAAGTGAAGATAATCCAACCATATATTATGCTAAATGATTCATCATTATATCCACAGAGAAACTGGATAAATAGAAAATTTCATTTTCATTTTTTCGCAATTTAGTAAATGAAAAATATACGCAATATACAAAATATATATCAATCCAACATCTCTGACTAATAAAAAACAGCCCTAGGTAGGATAAATTGTAAAAGCATTTTCATTCCCACATTTCGCAGAAGTTTTTTGTGACACCACTCACTTTTGGTTAATTTTCAGGATGGAAAGTTTCATACATTTGTTTAAATCGCCTTTTTGTTGTCGTGGTTGTTTTTTTTCTTGAACTGTCTGAGAGAACCATCAACTGATAATGCTTTTAAAAACCCAAAAGGTATGTTTAGTGTCTTTTATTATTATTATTTCATTATTTCTTAACTCAGTTTTAAAAAAATAAACTTAATTAACTTTGAAAAATACAAACATAAATAACATTTACATGGTAATTTATTTTACACTGTTATTTTAAATGTCTTTGGATGTAATTTTTTTAAATTAATAACATTTGTAGTTTTATGCAGAAAAACGAAAAAAAAAAATAGATTTCAAAAGACTCTCTCTCTCTCTCTCCTCTCTCTCTCTCATGCGCGCGATTCCTTATCTTTTTTAACCAATCAGAAACCAGATTTTATTCCATGTGTGACAGAGGAAAGTGTCGGCTTTTGTTTTGTCGAACCGAACGCGACAGTGAAAGTAGAGCTTCTGACTTAGCACCATTATTTGGGTATGTTTTATGGAAAACGTATATTCGTAATGAAAACATTACAATATACTATATTATGATGCCTTTTATGCAATGAAGGATCTACAGACTGGCCTAAATTATGGGATCAGTCTCAGCTGATCATGCCAATTTCTGATAATCACTGCGTAGATAATCTTAATATTAGAGCATCGCAGTTCATGCTGTGGTGTGTGAAATATTGTAATTTTGTATAGTTGGATTCTCTCTGATTACATTTACAACTAACCTAATTTTTATGTTGAATGCGAGATTCATACAATATTCGGCTGTTTTTAGTTCTTCTGAACAAGAAACCCACAAGACTTACTGACAAGAGTCAAGATTTCAGAAGTTAAAGACCTAGGTAGTTGCAGATCTGTAGCGTTATGGTTTTATATATTTATATATCAGTTAACTACCTTTCACTCCCTAATTTTAGGCACATTAATTAACTAATCTGTATATCCATCTCCCAACCCTTTATAGTCATCTGTACAAATGATAAACTCACTTGATTAAAATTATTTGTTGGATTGCTGAAAATTCACTTCAAGCAAGTTTATATGTTGCCTGTAGAGACAATTATAAATGGTTGGGAGGTGGATATAATATATTCATACTGGCTACAAAATGTGTCTAGAATATGTAATATTTCGAGGAACTTTGGTACCCCTCAGTTATCTAACTTACTACCTCTCTTTTGCAAGGGAATTGAGAAAGCTGAAGATTTCTGGGGCACATGACATTGTTTACAGTAGTGACAATCGAATGATTCGAAGAATTTTATGCAGAAAGTATAATTTATTGCCAAGGATTCAACTCCAAATAGTAGATTGTCAAAAAAGGAAAGTTTAGAATATTTAATCAGCATTCATATGACAATTTTCAATGAAAATTCATTGAGAAGAGCTAGTCCACTTAGTTAAAAATATTGTTAAAAATGTAACATTTTAGGATTAGCTCCTCTCAAAAATTGATTGGGCTGGTTCAGCAATTGTATAGCAAGGTATTCCACCAGGATTTTTTACTTATCTGTCCTTATAAATTCTATAATGATCGATCTTGCATTGTATTTGCACATTTGCCCCCATCCAACAGACGTTCCTACCTCCATCATGAAAGAGTTCCGCTAAGTTAAGTAATGGTGATATCAAGTATTAGGGAATTGACCGATGCTGGAAAGTGGAGAAATTCTCCCCAAAAGTGCGCAAAAAATATTGTGCCGTAAATTGCACCTTTTTTGCATTACGGGATCTGTAGCGTTATGGTCAAAGACAAATAAATATCATATACCTAGTAGTGTATCAGCCCTGATACAGGCGTTTTATCGAGACAGCCTGGGAAAGGGCTGTATCGCCCTAGATATCTCTGTCTCGGCCCGTTGTCAAGGGGCTGTCTCGTCCTCAAATTTCAATCCATTATTTCTATTTACTTTGTGTGAATTAAGAGTAAAAGATATATATTCTAATATTTAAGAGAAACATTATATATCGAAAAATTTAACCAGAATCTTTAAAAATTATTTATTTATACTAGAATTTTGAGAAAATTGTTTTTGTACAGTGTGCCAAATGATAGCTTTTTTGACGTAAGATAGATAACTCTTGTTTACTTCTAGGACAGCAACAAATCATGTTTTGAAAAAAATGGACGTTTATTTGCTTTGACATTCAGACAATACAAAGTTTTCGTGTAATGTGCCATTTTTGATTTAATATATATCCTAAACAAAAAAAAGCAGTTACTATAAATCTCATATTTACAATCCGTAACAATTCGTTGGCGAAGTTGTAACCCCGGTTCGGTCCAAAGTGAAAGTAGAATATTTTTAAGTTTGGGACCTTTGTTATCTAATGTGCTTCAAAATGAAATGTTTCAAAACACCATTCTTTTTAATGACAAGACCAGGCAAATCTTTCTTAACTTTCACCATCAAGCAACATCTCCAGGAACATCGAAATAAAGAAAGATACCTCTATTTTGTTACAACAAAATTATATAAACTGTTTGATCGAAAAATATCTAAATATTTGTTCTTTTCTTTGGTATCAGATATATGATATAAAGAACATCACACCACTGTTTTGATCTTGTCCCTGGTATCAGCCCTCGGATGGTCTCGGCCCGCGCCCTCCGGGCTTGGGCTGATACCAACCGCTCGGGCTGATACCAGGGCCGAGATCAAAACAGCAGTGTGATATTCTATATATCTGCAGCTAAGACCTAGGCAGCAAGGCTATCAAGTTGAATTATATAATCACGGTCACTACAAGCACTTTTTCTGTTATAAAATAAAGTTTTTAATCCATTTAAGGAATAAAATATTAATAGCAACCCAAGTTATACTGTATAACCTGGGTTGGGTAGTTTATGCTTTATGAATGCGAAGATTTGTATAACTGGTTGGGTTGCTATTTAATTCATTTAAGGAATGAATTTAATAGCTACCTATTTTATACGGTA